GTTAATGAGAACTGGTCTCTCTTCCATAATGCAGTTACAGGAAGATATATGAGATGTTATTTTCTCAATCAGAGAATTGTCTTTGCATTGTCATTGCCTGCCTGCTGCTCTGCCCTGTTACAATGCATTACAGCATGCTCCTCAAATTCCTGCAGAAAGGAATGAATTGGGAACATAGTGTTGAGATGTGGCTTCAAAGCTGAGACACCCTGAAATTTCAGGATTGCCTGATCCTGGATCTTGGAGTCTGCGCAGCTGAACAAAGATTCTTTCAGCAGAATTTGATGTTCTGGAATATGGTGGATCCATCCCTGAAGAGGCATCTCAGAGCCAGATCACCTCCATACCATGCCAATTTGTAAAATCAGTAAGGATGGAGCTCTCATGCACATCTCATCAGTGTAGGATCTATCTATCCAGAGCTGGAAGGCTGTACTTCATCTACCCAACATGCCCAGCAAACCCTTACACTTTCTTAGTCTCCTAGCATGGGAAGGATCTTGCTAGTCATTCACAGTTCAAGAGAATAACTGTTTAAGCTTATGCTTTAAGTAGAAAAAGAAACGTCATGTCTTCCTTTTATTCATATGTATTAGGATCCTCTACTTTTCTTGTACTTAAGTGCACAGTTTTGAAAAGCAGCCTTTTGGTTAACTCTTATGTTAAAGATATAATTTTGTTCACTTGTCCTTGCTAATTAGGATGTTCTTGAACTAGACAGTTAACAAGCCTCTTAGAAATTTCTTTAGTCACTAGATTTATTGATGCCTTCTGCCCTTCTTTTTTATTATTTCAAATCACTCATGTGAATGAAATTGAAAATTGACTTAATGAAAAATTTGACTTCCATGTTAAACAAAACTGTCTGAAAAATTAATAAGAGGAAGTGCAATTTTGCAAAATGGAAATGAAAGAGAAAAGCAATTCCTAAGCACGGCTAAGTTCAGTAGCATTGGTACCTCTGTAGATGCACATACATATAGGTACACTTATCTTAGAGTCATAGAATCAGAGATTCATCTGAGTTAGAAGGGACCCTTAAAGGTCATCTAGTCCAACTCACCTGCAATGAACGGGGACACCTACAGCTACATCAGGTTGCTCACAGCACCATCCAGCCTAATCTTGAGTATCTCCAGGAACGGGGCATCCACCACCTTCTGGGCAACATGTGCCAGTACTTCACTGTCCATACTGTAAAAAAGTTTTTTCTTATGTCCAGTTAAAATCCTTTAGAAGAGCACTGCAGCCAGCCTGGCACCGCCTCAGAACCAGAGTTCGCACACAGCATGGATGGCAGACAGCCTACAGTTGCTTGCAGAAGCATGGAATTTGGACTAATTTTGGCAGTTGCAATTCCAGAGAATTGGAGGTAACTCAAAAGTAGTGAAAAATGTATCCTTCTTTTGATTCAAATATCCTGTAGAGATTATTTCTATTGGGTGTAGCTGGCCTTTCAGGTTGGATCAGGTTGGCTGACACCCAAAACTAAATGGACTTTATCATTGGAACAAAGCTTGTTGATAAAGAACTTGCTATCAAATGTTATAAATGTGGCAGGATGCCCCTGTCCATGGAATCTGTCTGTATATCTGCTGCATAAATGGTCCCTGACACCACAGCATGAGCGAGTCACAAGATTTAATGAATTTAAATACTGGTATGAAATAAATCCCTCATTTTTGTGTGGGAAACTAATCTGTACCATGAGGGGATTACCCCGCTTGTGGCTCTCAAGGCAGGAATGCCTGGTCTGTCCACACAGTGTAGCCTCTTAAAGCATCCCTACAGTCTGGTTGCACCCTCAGATCTCCCACTAATGCCTTGGGCTCCCATCAGGACCCTCCCAGCACCTGCTTACATGAGGCCTCTATTTCTCATGCATCCCGCTTTCCTCCAGAAGGAAATGCTATGCCATTATTCACAAGGCCAAAGAATAAAAGGGAAAGAGAAAGCGATTACATGGGTCAGGTTTGGGAGTATGCTCTCTTGGCCTCCTCTGTTGCTCCCTCCTTGGCTAATTGTTCTTCTATCTGGCAACATTAACAGAGCAAGGCAGCAAGCATCTGGCATTACAGCCTTGGCTGTCCTGAAAGCAGAAACTCTGGCAGACTCCGTGAGTTCTTTTCATTTCCCTGGCAAATCATCTGGAGGCCTGGGTGCTCTGGACAAAGCTTACATGACCAGTGTGACCCAAAGCATCCAGATCCTGCCCTCAGGGTGCTTAGACAGGGCGGTTCAGCCAGGATGAGATGCGCAGCAACAAACTACATGATTTCAATCCCTGGGAAAACCACACCAGTTTAAGTCTCTTCACCAAACTATCTCAGTTATCCACAAGGGCTGGGAAACAAGTTTGAGATCCCACGGACCAATGGGCCCTTCATGCTTCTGCATTCATGTGGAAGCCCTAAAACTGAGCAGATAGGAAGGAAAGTGTCCCCTTGTCCATTAAGCCACACTAACATCAAACATCTTATTTTCCTACAGAAACATCAGAAGAAGCCTCTCCAGATGTGCCCCAAAGGAAGTTCAGGAGGTGATCCTGCCCATCTACTTTGCACTGGTGAAGCCTCACCAGAAGTACTGTGGCCAGATGTGGAGTCCTCAGTACAGGAGAGATGTGGACCTGTTGGAGCGCATGTAGAGGAAGGCCACAAACATGATCCAAGGGATAGAACACCTCCCCTGTGAGGACAGCATAGAGAGCTGGGGCTGTTCAGCCTGGAGAAGAGAAGGTTTCAGTGAAATCTGACAGCGGCCTTTCAGTATCTACAAGGAGGCTGTAAGAAGGAAGCGGACAGATTTTTTAGCAGGGTCTGTTGTGATAGGACAAGGGGAAATGGTTTAAAACTAAACAGGGGGAGATTTAGACTGGACGTAAGGAAAAATTTTTTTACAATAAGGGTGGTGGGTCACTGGCACAGGTTGCCCAGTGAGGTGGTAAAAGCCCCATCCCTGGAGACACTCAAATTCAGGCTGGACAGGGCTCTAGGCAACCTGATGTAGCTGTAGGTGTCCGTGTTCATTGCAAGGGAGTTGGACATTTAAAGGTCTCTTCCAACTCAAACAATTCTGTGATTCTATGAAATGCTCCAATAAACAAAAATTGAATGGAGAGATAGCCAGGTAAAATAATATGGAAAAATCTATGTCCAAAACCATTAGGTAAGTTCAAAGCACAGTTTGATGCTGTCTGCTGTGGACAATCACCACGGCTGCCTTCCTGAGGTCAAAAATCCAAATTTTCAGTCCTTCTTGAGGTCTGCCAACATCCAGCGCTCAGCTGCCAGTTTTATCCTTGCTTTGTATCTTTTAAACTACACTCAAACAAGAAAAAGGGAAAAGTAATAATAAAAGTCAGCCTGGGATTTTCCTGCTGTTAGGCTGCTGAGGATTTTTAAAGCTCACTGTTTCCTTGAGGGGAAAGAGGTTAACGTGTCAGAATATATCAGGCCTTCTGATGCGGGGCAGGGCTTGCTAGGTTCACTTGTTGGCTATTTCAAGGTTTATTTGCAAAATAAACCTTTTCTAATGAGAAATATCACATTCATTAACTGGTAAACATCTGTTTAGAATATAGCGTCCTCCTTTATTCCAAAAAGTGACCTCACAAGAGAAGCTGTCTGTAATGCTGGTGATTGTTAGCTGCCGAAATAGTCTCTATTCTTGCAGTTTTTAATAATAATTAATGTTTGCATAACAAATTACAGAAATTCACTGTGAATGCACACATCTACTGTATGTCCTCGAGGCACTAACCTTACCCAAGAACACAAAGTCCTTGTTATGATATGCAAACTAATGAATCAGCTGAAGGAAGCATTTATATTTTGTCAGTGTTTTAACTTTCTCTGACTCAAATTAGCTGCAACTAGGGCTGTTGCTTGACGAGATTCTGTGAACTTTTGAGCTAAAATTAATCTGGATGTTATCACAGAGAAAATAATTTGCTGGAAAAGGAATAATTGATCTGAAACTATCCTTTTCACATTTTGATATTCGGAAAAAACAGGTTGCAGATCATAATTATTATTATTTTCTTCCCTGTGACAGTTTAAGACTGTAGTGGTTTTAGTTTTAAACATAAAACTAAACCAGGTTCAGGTAACATCACCGACTGTGTATATAGGCTGTTATCTTGCACAGTATGGATTTTATATATTATCCCATGAACACTTAACAGAGCTCCATGCCTTAAACCTTCTATTTGTATCTTATTTATTAACTTTTCTTCAAAGGATGCAGTATTCATTGATATTGACCATCCTGTCAGGACAAACTTTTAGGAGCCCTAAAAGTCAATTTATCAATACTTTCAACTGCCATTTATTAATCATTGCATTGTGTGTGGTGCTTCCTTAGCACATTACAATTCGTGTTTACATTTTCACCTTTTTCCCTTTTGTAAAATTTTCTTTAGACTTGCAACTGTAGAGATCCTTCTTTCTTCTGCCTTGATGTCTGCTCCAGCATTTATTTGGCTGCAAGTAGCTTATATTTATTTATTGACAGGATTACATCTTGTTTGGCAAGCCCAAAATTTTACTTTCTATCAGGTTTGATGAAAAAAAGTGTGAAACAGGGTAGACCTCACTACAATCTTTCAATACTTGAAAGAAGCTTACAAGGGAGACTGATGTTTTACACAGGTAGGTAGTGATAGGAAAAGGGGATATGAATTTTAATTGAAAGAGGGGAAATTTTGTTTGGATTTTAGGAGGAAATTCTTCATGGAGAGGATGGTGAGGCCCTAGCACAGGCTGCCCAGAGAAGCTGTGGTGCCCCACCCCTGGAGGCAGTCAAAGCCAGGTTGGATGGGGCTCTGGGCAGCTGAGCTGGTGGGGGGCAGCCCTGCCCATGGCAGGGGGTTGGAAGTAGATGATCTTTGAAACCTCTTCCATCTCAAGGCATTTTGTGTTTGTGTCATTCTATGATAGTGACCTGAAAGCTTCGCACTGTGCTGCAGTGACGCAGCCTGCTGAAATGGAAGGTGCCTGTTTGCATCACAATATGAGCCCAAGGGGCTAGTACCACTGTGTGGGAGGAGTACCATGCCCTAGGTCCTTTGCATGTTTAATGCTCATGCAAAACTCTCCTCTAACTGTCCTGGAGATATTATTCACAAGAACAGTTTGTATTCTTCTGCAAAGATTACACAAACTCTGCTGACAAGGTCAGTGTCAGGATGGATTAGCTAGCATGTAAAGGCCAACCACGTAAATAAAGTTCCCCAGGAGTGGCATTAACATGCCTCGTAATGCGTATTTTTTTCATCAGCTTTTTTCATCTCTTGATTTTTTTAATCAGTCTTTTTATTTGTTTATACTGGTTCCTACTCCTTATCTTTCTTTACCTTTCCTCTTGTTCCCTCTGCAGCATGCAGTCCAGTGCGGGTGGAAGGGATAAATATTCTGCCTTGCTCACATGTGCTTTTCTTCTGTTCAGTACTTGAGTGTGTTGTGAAAAAGCTTAGAGAGACTGGATGATGAGCATGTTTACACACAAGCACGTGCACACACATGCAGCCCTACCTTTAAAAAAGTGCCCCTACCTATAACATTATTTTTCTGTAATGTAGGAGGGCTGCTCTAAAAGCAATGCCTCCTGTTTTATTATGCCGGCTCACAACATCAGAGGTGGATGTTGGTGGTATGGCAGTAGAGATTAAACTTTCCTACCAATATCCCATTACATTTTGTTGCTGTGTGACAGATGGCAGCCTGATACAATGGCGTCTGACATGGAAGTGTGTATGGAGCAAACATGTGGAATTGAATTCCTCCATGTGGAAAAATTTGCACTCATTGACATTTTCTGACACTTGCTGAATGTTTATGAAGACCAAACATTGGATGTGAGCACAGTGAGGCGATAGGTAGTGCATTTCAGCAACAGTGGGTCACCTCCACTAGTACAGATGTTTATGAGCATGGCATGTAGGCTCTTATTCATCACTAGTGATAATGCTAATGCTGGTGACTACAATGAAAAATAGTGTTTTGTAGCTGAAAATTTGCTCTATCAAATAGCGTTATTGTTCTTTCCATATTTTTTGTAGTTTCCATGGAAATAAGTAGGAGGCATTACTTTTGGAGCGACCTACGTAGCATGGAATTTCTGCTGGGAATGAGGTATTGTTAATCTATTCACTGATCACTTCTTTGCTAAAATAGTTCAACTTGTAAAACCACAGCTCAGATCTCTGCAGTGGAAGCAAACACAGTGTGTGTGTGTGTGTGTGTGTGTGTGTGTGTATAATCTCTTCTCATCCATTATGAAGGTAATTTTTTCTGTGTTTTTCCAAGCTGATCTTTCTTAACTCAAAGACTTTACAAACACTGCAGCTGAATTGCTCTGCAGCCGGATGGCCCTGTTGCAGGGCTGAGATAACAGCACTCCCATTCTTTTCTTCTGTGCATTGCTTCACACCACTGTTTTGACTATGCAACTCTCCATGTGAGCTCAATGCCACCTCTACTCCATTTCTCACTTTGTCTAAGTCACCCCATGCACATACGAGGCTCTCCTGGGCTGGCAGAGGCTATTCTTGCTCCCACCACTCCAACACCACTGCTGCTGAGATTGTTCATCCTCACTGGGGCTGGGCCTGGCTCCACAACTACTACTCACATCTGTTGCTTTGATCTGTGACAGCTTTCACAACCCTGAGCTGTCTTTTCTCCTTACTTGCTTGTTTCTCCTCTTCTCTTCTCTTCTCTTCTCTTCTCTTCTCTTCTCTTCTCTTCTCTTCTCTTCTCTTCTCTTTTCGGAGTACCAGCCATGCTGTGCTAGGTGTGCAACACAGAAGATTCAAGTCCCAGCCTCTGAGAACTTGTGCAAGATTATTCTCATCTCCAACTCTTCTGTTAACTCTAAATAGTTGCATTCATCACTGTCTTCCTCAACTCTGTTTCATTGTGTAACGTACCTTGTGACTCTATTTGAAAGGGATTATGTATGTAAAAACAAAATGAATAACTCTCATACTAACAAAGTATATATTAAAGGATGGTATAAAAACTCCCTTTTTCCTCATCTCACTGAGCTGTGCTGATTATAACCAATACTTTCACTTTAATTTCATTCTTGAAGTATTTTAGCATCTAAATAAATGGTGTACCACAGAGGAAGCTCAATGTCTACATTTCTGTGGTTACTTAGAACATTCTCAGATTCAATCTTAGAAGAGTTTTTTTGCAAGGTTTTGATGCCAAGCTAGGCATTTCTGATCTAGTTGGTGGCAATCCTGCCTATGGCAGGGGATTGGAACTACATGAACTTTGAGGTCCCTTCCAAACAAAGCCATTCTATGATTTCCAATGCCAGCTGCCTGTGAGTCAAAAGAACATAAAGACTGGCCTAACGGTTTTGAGATTAAAAACAAATTAAACATAATCTGGCTCTGTTTTAAAATATTTTGCTTGGTTTTCTCTTTTAAGTTTTATCTTCAATTTTTTTTTCATCACAACCAGGAGAGACAGCAAGTTGCCTTATTGTCAAATGAGAGCTTGACCATGTCATGTGGTCTCAGGAGCTATGGCTTCTATTATTTTATTGTGCTGGTTTGCAATACTTAAAGCTCTTCCAAGAGTTAGTAACAACGAACTTAACTGAAAATTTTAGCATCTGCATCTGATTACATCTTTGTAGGACGTCTTCTTAAGGGTCTGGTTTTTGAAATAGTTCCATATTAACTAGAACCAGGATTCTTCTGAAACAGGGCTCTAGGTTTAATCCTTGCTATACAAGGCAAGTCTTGTGTTGCACAAAAACAGCATCGCAGAAATCTGAGCTTGGAGAGGGCTATGGAGGAGGCAATCTTAGCCCACAAATGTGGTTGTTCGCTATAAGATTTCATCTTTATCTTGCTAGGTAAGACTTACTTGGTGTCAGGAAGTGCTTTCATTACTACAGAATTTGGTTCTCTTCTGCTTTCTGGTGGGATTATAATTTTTTACTTTATTCTCTAGTATCTGTGACACTGTAGTTGTGGCAGACAGTTTCAGCTGCTAAATATGTGCAAATCAGCACAGACTAAAAGTTTGTCTCCTTTAGCACATGAAACGCCTTGTTGTGTGGTGTCATCTTCAGAGAAATAAATGGCTGCAACATCTAAGCTGCTTTGCATTTATTTTGCATTAAGACATTACCTCATTCCTGATCATGTAAATTCAGTTGCTTCCTGAACAACTGAATTAGTTTAGATGCTTATATTTTGTATATTTTGTTTTGCTTTAAAGCAAAACCCAAAGCAGTCTTTTAGGAAATCTCAGGGATCTGCTTTCCTCTCTTACAGCTATACTAGCTTCCCTCCCCTGGAACTCTCTGGCCTGCCAGGACTTTACTGCAAAATGCAATAAGTCAACCAATATTTTAATATAATCAATATGAATTGTCATCAATAGCTTTTATGAAGATGCATGTTTTACCAGTAATGCCAGCTTAGCTGCTCCTGTCTCCTCACCAGTATTGCTTGCTATCTCCCAGATAGAAAAGAAAAAAAAGAATGTAGAAGTAGGTACAGTCTGTATGGAGACATGGAACCATTCAGTTGGAAAAGACTACTAAGATTATCTAGTCCAACTGTTAATCCATCACCCCCATGCCACTGACCACGACTCTCAGTGCCACATCCACAGATTCCCTGAAGACCTCCAGGGATGATGAACTCCCCACCTCCCCGGGCAGCCTGTGCCACTGCCTAGCTGCTTCTTACAAGACAAAATTTTTCCTAGTATCCAACCTGAATCTCTCTTGATGCAGCTTAAGGCCATTTTCTCTCATCCTATTGCTGTCACCTGGGAGAAGAGGTAACACCTTGCTATCACCCTCTTTCAGGTGATTTTAGAAAGCGATAAGATCTCCTCTCAGTCTCCTCCAGACTGAACAATCCCAGCTCCCTCAGCCACTTTCCATAAGACTTGTGCTCTTGACCCCTCTCTGCTCTGTTGCCCTTCTCTGGACACATTCCAGGGCCTCAATGTTTTTGCTATAGTGAGGGCCCAAAACTGAACTCAGAACTTGAGGTGTGGCTTCACCAGTTCCAAGTTCAGAGGGACAGTGTATACTTATTTTTGTTATTTTACTTACCTGTGATCTATTTGTAATTACCCATGTTTAAACTCGTATTTATGGTTTTCAAGCTGGGTCATCTGGGTGGTGTAAGTGACCCCAAAGCCTGACAAACTGAAGGGAAGTGAGGAGCCATCATCTGGGCCCCCTGTAATGAGGTGCTGCTGGCAGAATGATGATGCACCCATAATTTCAGAGTGTGCCTCCACATACATTGTACTGCATTGGGTGGGTGACTACTGAAGTCACCTGCCCTATTTTTCCCATTGGCTCCTGCTCTTCAGTTGCAATTTATCGCTTTCTGATGTGTGCCAATAAAGCCGTAGGGCTGTGCTATAAAGCAGTGAAGGAAATGAGAGAGCTTTAGGTTTTGGGAGGCTGATTTTTAAAGATGAGTTTACAGCCCAGCTTCTCAGTTCACTCCATCAACACAGTGTTGCGGGGGATGCAGAGTGTGCAGGATATTATCCATGCACCATCCTCACAGTGCAAGAAAAGGTGTGCAGAACCACATCCATCTCCTGATTCATTAGTGGTTGTCCTGTGCCTTTAAACTGTGAAATGCGTAAGTAATAAAAAAGCTCTGTTTCTTTAAAGCAGTGAGTTAAACTAGCCATATTTAGTCGGTTAGGTAAAATAGTTACTACTTTAAATTTCTGGTTGCACATTCAAAGCACTGCTTTTGTAGGAGATAAAAAATTCACTCAGGTGGCACCAGCTGGTATTGCTGATTTTTTCAGAAGTGACAAGGAATTTTAGATGCAGAAGTGCCATTATTTTCAATGGAGTTTAGACCTCCAAATCACATAGGTTCTGTTGAAAATGTTTGTCAATAATGATTTTCTTTGGGAAAGTTAAAAAGCCCACATGCCATGAGCAGTTGTATAGAGAGTGCTTACTGTGCTGGATGCTTAGTCATAGGATTTAGCATCAGGGCTCTTCCTGTGTCTGCGTGCGTGTGGCTTTACCACACATAAATTATCCAGTTTTCCTTTTTTCTCTTACTCGTGGAAAAATATACCAAAATTTCAAAGACGAGAGAATAGTCTGAAAGGCAGCCCCGTTCCTTTCATTCACGTTTTTGATTCAAACTGGAAGATAGCCCTAGAACCAGCCTCAGTAAAAGAGCTGCTTTATGCAAAGTCAAAGCGAAGCAAAGTAAAGCTATCGAGTTGTAAAAGCAGCGGAGCTGCACCTCCTTAGCATTCAAGCAACTATCTCTAGAAGGGAAGCAGATTATGCGGTATCATATTGCAAAAGGGCTGTTCAACCCTGTTGCACTTACTCAGAGCTCCATATTTACTTTTGTCACTGTATAGCAGCGATTGCATTATATCCTTCCTGCCAGGACACGGGAGAAACAGAAGGTTAAGTGTAAGAGGGGGAGGGGAAAAGAAGGAGGGAGAGGCAGCAGTAAAAAGGCTAAAAAGGGGGAAAAGAACAGCTGAAGAGAAAAGAAAAAGTTCCTCACCGAGGCAGGAAAAGCTCCTACAGAAGCACAGCAAAGCAGGAGCCCAGGCATGGCACATATGGGATTACTAACACAATTGTATTTCGTCTCTGATACTGCTGAAAGCACGATGGTTTGGTCATAAGAAAATAGATGCATTTTATTAAGCATACATAAAAGTGGGAGGCACAGAGTCTGGCACCAGCATAGCCTAAAGGGATTTCCATGATTTGTGCCATGAATGCTGAATGGAATACTTGTAAAAAGCACCTTTCTCTTAAGGATAGCCTGCTGGAATTTGTAAATACAGCCAAAAAAACAACAACAAACTGAGCCTGAATTAAAATAGTACGAAGTGGTGGAAATACCAAAGCCCTGTTCTCCAGATAGAGAAGCCTGCAAACAAGCACATTTATTTCAGGGGCACTCAGGCAGTCCAGAGGCCACAGGGGTCACTTGGAGCGATGGCTTTGAAAGTGATTAAAGTTTTGAGGGGGCACAGAGGTGGTCAGTACCAAAAATGGCAGGAGCTGGGAGCAAAGAGTTCTGATTTTATAACCCGGGGCTCCCCAAGTTCAAAGGTTCATTTTAGGAGGGTTGGTGAGGGAC